CCAGCCTGCTCAGACAGACACAGGCACAGACCCATTCTCTCCCCACTGCCAATTTAAAAACACAGAAAAGATACAACAATAATAGGGGTTAAAAAAAAAGTGGGCACATACAACAACAGTCACATCATTCTCACCTCATTCATAAAATGCGGAGAGACTAAAAATTGCGCAGATCTAAATGGAACAATGTGAGGAGGAGGAGGGAGAGGTACTCCGCTCCTCTCCCTTCCTATAGCAATTAAATTGACCAAGATGGTTGAAAACCCAGCCACAATCCACAGATGGTATACAGAGGGGGAGGATAACGTTTCCCCCCTCTAGTAAAGCTGAAAAAAGTCCCAAATGTCTAAGAAAGTAATGTGAAACCGGGAGTCCTCCTACACCCAGATGTTTAGAGGCCCAGCTGGAAAAGGGCCAAATGGCCAATGGGGGAGATAAACTGAGGCTCCCCACTGTCAATAACAGGCAGTAGAAAAAAAAATTTAGAACGATTGGTATTGGTACTTTCTAAGCTTTGGTGCTCTAAGCTAGTGCCTACTTGGCCTTAACCTAATGCCAACCCCAACCACAAGTACAGTCCATAAACAGCCCATCAGTTATAGTACATCTACTTATAAGCAAAAGTTTTATACATTTTTCCCCAGTGGGTATTTTTAGCTCAAATTCTTCTCTCCCAAAGGACAGTAAAAGATCATCACTTCAAGAAAAGTGATACCTTCATAGATCAAAGGAATCTCTAACTGATGCTTTGACCTATCAACGAAAAAAAAAATCTCCTTGGCAATGTCACAAATTGGTACTCTGGTACCAATTCAAAATTTGAATCCTTTCCTCCTTCTCCGCAAATGTTGTCTAAAACTCAACGAGAATACTGTTGTTCAGTACCAATAGATCTCTACTAATTCTATGATTTATTTCCCTTCTGCATTCCCCCTGCCCCTTCAGAATTACATTTAACTTAGTCTCTAAAAAGAAATACAGTAATCAAATAAATTAGAAGATTCTTACCTGATGTGAACAGGAAGTATAAAAGAGGCACTACGATGATTGCAGGGATGACAATGAGGCCAATACCAGTTTTAGTCAATGTTGTATATCCATCTGGATGAGGTCAATTTTTAAAAAAAAAAAATCAATTCAGTCTTTACTGTCAAACTATTATGTAAGAATACTATTTATATTAAGAATAACTGCAATGGGAATCACAATAAATAGACCATCAAGTTTAAGCCAAAGGATATTTCTACTTTTTCCAAGTTTTTATTTTATTTTATTCCTATCTTTCCCCATCATTAGCCATACTGGCTAGGAATAAAATTGCTACATCTGAAGAAAAAAGTTGTCTCTTAGCTCTGAAATGTGCAACTAATAAAGCTACAGTTGGAAAGTAAGAGAGGGAACAAATTTGAGTTATGACTAAATATATACCTTCATCAATTCATATTTAATCCATAGAATTTTTGGATATGTCCACTAATTATTAGTTCTTAGCTAGGATGCAATATTAACATTGGAAGAGAACATGTAAAATAGCTTATTATAAGAGTTTCATTCTTGGAAATAATTGTGATGATTGTATTCTAAAATTAGCAGAAAATTATGAAGGTGACCTACTTAAGTGCCTCCTGAGGGGAAGAACGGCACAAGAGAAATACCATTTTCCTGTTAAATGTTTACCCAATAGTAAGGGGAATGTATCCTACTAATACAGGATGAAAATATTCATGCAAATATTTTTATATGACAAGAATTAATACTGGACATGCTTCATCTATTTGAACAATTCTATATTTTAATAAAGGATTTCTACTCTTTCTAGTCTCAATTTTGGCTGTTTATGACTGCAAATTATTTGAACAAATAACAATGCATTCAAGATTCCATTTATTTTATATCTGTGGTGATTTATTAAACAAGAAAAAAAAGTATGTTTTATATAGTAAGGTAAAAATCAGCAAGGACAGGGAGAGGTACCATGACCAAATATTACATGCGCTCTGAGATACCTGTTTTTGTAATATTTTTAATAAATAAATATTTACTATTTAGCAAGAATAATATATACCCAATATATTCAAAAGATATGTTGAACATATAAAACTAGGGCAGTTACAATAATAGAATTAGAAGTAGTAATTTAATCAGGGTTAGGAATAATATCTTTAATTCACTTGGTGACATTTTGAAACTTTCATACATTAAATTGCCTGTTTTTATATAAAAATTATCACATATTGGCTATTATCAAATTCAGTCTTGCTATATGTAGCTTAAGGCCCAATTTAACTTGATGGAATACATTTATTTATTAAAATTCTTACCGTTGGCATAATAAATGGCACCAATCACAGATAAAAGTGATAGTAATACTCCTGTAACACTTAAGCCAATTTTCTTTTTTAATGGGATGTCAAACTTTGTAGCTAAAAGAAAAATAAAAGATAAAAACAACAATTAGAGACTAAACACTTAAATAAATACATGGCTTTCAAATTATGCTTTTGAACAGCATCAACTGAATATGAATGATGTATGTACGTATGTATATATAACTTTGTTTAGATTACATTCCCATATTATTTATTTATTTAGATCCAATGCTCCTGTGGTTTTACAAACTACAGGAAAAAACATGAGAGCCCACACAAAAATCAATGTACACTTCCAATGTGTTTATTTTCCTCTAATGAAATGATTTTAATCTAGTACACAATATATTTTTGCACAATATGCTTTGATTTAAAATTTAAGTCAATTTAGAAATTTATCCAGAGGTGTGGAGGAGGAGGAGGGATCTTTCTTTTCCTGGAAATGCTCTAATGTAGGGTTATTACAGTAAATCATCTGGATGGTCCTTAGAACTGTGGTTACACGTGTAAGTACAAACTGCAGCAATCTGCAGCTATTCTTTACTTGTCAGCTATTCTTTGCTGTTGCAGTGTGTTTCCCAGGCATGAACAAGGACACGGGATGATACAATGTAATGAACCTGTAACATTCACTTATTTGAATGTATAACACTTGATTCTTTCAGTGTGTGAGAACATGCACATTCTCATGAACACCAATGATGTAATGACTAACCAATTATTGTGCCTTGGAGGCTTGTTAACCAATAATGTAATAACACGTAAAGTAAGTGAGAACTAAGAAGCTGCAAATGCTATAAAAATGATGTCTCATGATTAATAAGCTGCTGTTGATTCTGTNAAGGAAGGAAGGAAGGAAGGAAGGAAGGGACCATACTGAAATGGGTTAAGAAGATAGGAAGGAAAGCAAAAGGGGGAGAGGGGGAATAAAATGAATAAAGAGAAGGTAAAGGGGGATCATTGGGCAAGGAAGGGGGAAAAAACAGAGACAGCAAGCTACACAAATTAAGCTACAGCTAAGCTAATCTTCAAAGATATTCATTCTTTTCAGCAGTGATGCTTGCGATAATTTGCACTTTTGATTTATTACCTTCTTTTCAAGACCCTGTAAGATGATGCTGAGCTGCAAGGGCCAGCATTCTTTCCCATGCTAACTAGGACACTGGAAGTCCAGAAGCATTTGATATGGGTTGATAATATCTGAAAAGTATTGAATTTGATATAGACATATAGCTACGCTTTGTTGTCATTTTGTTTTAGTTTGTGACAGTCACAGTAAAAAAGTTAAGTAACTTCTTCAGAACCAAGCTGTAACACATATTACTTTGATAAAGTACATAGTTTACCTGTCACGCACAAAGCAAATCCAGCCACAGCAATTACATATCCAAGTGCTTTCAGAGCTAGCAAAATAACTGCAAAAAGTGGTTGCTTCTCAAAAACTAGGGAAAGAACAATAATGTTACTGAGAAAAGAACATATTCAGAAACAAATGAGAAATAGAACAAGTCAGGATCTTTTAAAAAATAATTTAAACTTGTGCAAATATGTCTCTGGCATCAGGTATGAAGCAGATAAAGATATCAGGATGGACGAATGAAATAATCCCAGGGTAACTTTTTTTTATGTGCAATTCCCAATTATTTTTTCTTGTGTTCCAATTGTATCTGATGCTCAAAGAGTGCCAGGAGAAGTCCCTAAGTTTTCTTGGCAAGGTTTTTCAGAAGATGCTTGCCATTGCCACCTTCTTAAAGCTGAGAGAAAGTGACTTGCCCAAGATCACCCAGGTAACTTTGTGCCTAAGGCAGAACTACAACTTCTGGTCTCCTGGTTACCACCCTGATGCAATCACTACGCCAAGGAGGCTCTCACAACTCTTAGTATAATGTAGTAGAACAGAATTTGGATACTAAAGGCCAACAAACAATACTGGCTGACACAAGACTATATGGAACTCCTAGGCCACAATGACTTATGGCTCCATCTTCTACTGATGCAAATATTTCTATATTTCATTTCATTTC